ATGAGTTGCAATGGTCGGGCACTTCCGAGCAGCAGGGCTCCAGCACACGTGATGGCTCCTCAGCAGGCAGCCACTGGAGACAATGAATGCCCACCTTCCTGCTACTTGCCTCAGCTTTTATATCTGAGCTGACATCATATGGTCTGGAACATTCCTTTGGTCAGTTTGGGTCAGCTGGCCTACTTGGGTCCCCTCCCAGGACCTTGTCCTTGACTGAGGAAGGAATGTTACAGTGCTGATGCTGTGCCTGCCCTGCTCAGCAGCAGCCAAAACACCGGCGTGTTATCAACTCCCTTCTACCTACCAAAGCAAAGCACAGCACTGTGAGGGCTACTGTGGGGAAATGAACTCCAGCTCAGCCAGACCCAATACAACCTGCTATACAACCCTGGCAGAAACCAAAGCCCATGGACAGAGGGAGTGAGCCCCTGGTGAGACTGGTCATGGTAAGGTCTGTCGGTGCGCTCAGTGCCCTGCCTGTCCTAAGGAGGAATTCATCTGGTACTTACACAGCTATTTTAAAAGGTTGAAACCTGTTCTTTTCCCCAAGGAAACTTATTGCTAGTATTAGTACTTAAGTAACTGCCATCAGCTATAATTAAGTACATTTTGCATGAAATACTTTTGATGAGTCCAAACACCAGAACCAACTCCCGGATATATCATAAATAGCGAGATGTCAATAGATAGGCTCGTCTAGTAGAATTAGAACCTTTTAGAATACCAGTGTCTAGCCTAAAGTAAATTGTTTTTTATTTTCATCCATCCTTTTTCCAAGTATTGACACCAAATCTACAGAGTCAAACAATGTGAATTAACAAATTCTTGGTTCTCTGCAGCGATTGGAAACAACAGTGATGACATTAGCATAATTTCTCTGCTGCCAGTTTCTCATGCCAAGCCCTGCTATCAACATGTTTAATTGTACTTCTCGCTCTCAGCTGTTGCCTACCAGTAGGCAGGACACCTAATTTGCAGAGGGGTGTGTTTTATAATGAACATCTTTTAGGATGGGTTTGAATTACCTGTTAGTATAGCCTTGCTTTACAAATTAAAGGTTGGTCCTGAATACTGGCTTTGCTTGGTGGTTTGTGTAACCTTTCTCTTCTTTCACCATAACATCTAAGACCACATAAGCATTTAATGTATTTATCTACAGAATTCCCCCATGAATAAGGGGAATACAATTATCTGTACTAGAAACATGGGAAATTAATATGAGGCCTTAACTGACTGAACAGCTTAGCCAAGTTCCAGACAGGAAATCTCTAGCACAGCTAGAAATTGAATCCTGACTCTCATCCAAGTGTATCTCCTCTACAAGTCCATCTCTCATCTGGCTGGAGTAGACTCCAGGAGGAATGATTTCCTAACAGCAGAATCATTGCTATATTCACTTTAGCTGTCCCAAAATGGGAATAGCTGCTCATTCACCAAGACAAGCACATCCCAAAGCTGTGCAGTCCTGAGCATGCCGAATCCTATTCCCAGAGTACCCCAAGTTCCTGCCTGTGGACATGGTTAGATGGCCAAAAGCGTGTGAGTTGGTTCCTAAAGGAGCCTAAACGTTAAAAAGATTTTGAGACAATCTGTGAGGCAATTATCTGGCAGAGCTGCCAGATCACTTTGTGTGAGCATTACATAATCGTTTCACTACAAACTCAGCGTGCCTTTGTGCACGTTAAACCCATGTCCTTGGCCTGGAATGGAACAGCCATTTTGACTCGGCATTTTCACTTCACTTTCACTTACGCTATTCAACATCCAGTTAAGGGGCAGTAATTTCCAAACTCGTTCCAGGACGACTATGCCCTTTGGCACACATATTGATTTTTTTTTTCAGTGTACCTCACTTCATTGTGTCAGGTGTAACATTACAAGTATAATCTGATTTTTAACATTGGTAACATCCCTGAAGTTCACTTCAACGAAATTTCTTATGTGATCTGTCATTTAAATGGAGTAATTAAAATAATTTGGATCTATAGGGACACACAGAGGGACACTGTACAAATGTTTTTATATGAGTTGCCAGCAGCTCTTGGAATATGTTAATTTGGGAGACTTCAGGTCTTAACTTTTCATTTTTTCCCTTACACTGCCACAACAGAGTGATATTTAAACAGCTTCTACAAGCCAAGGCCTTGAGTTATCTCCAAACTGACAGCTGCAGGCTGGGAAGCGTGAATGAAAACCTGTCTGTGCTGCTGATGGCCAAAAAGTCCCAGAGTAAGGCTCTTCAAAATGCAGCAGCAATGAGAAAATCTTTCTCTCCCCACCCTTCAAGCCAGTCTGATTAGTTTCTTCAGCTATCATGCCTGTGATTTGCAAGCATAAGCTTGCATGCACTGCTGTCATATTCTTTTGTTTCATGTCATGATGTGGGGCTGACCAAAGGGCTCTGGATGTCTTGGTGTGGCACTATCATCCCTAGTAAGAACATACCCAAGTTACCGAAAGGCTTGTAAACGGTTTAGTTATACCAAAAAAAAATGCAGTAGTGAACGATTATGGTGATTGCTCTTTGTTTTCTTAAATAATATGTTGCCACATGGTGGTCACAGCATAAAGGTCACAGCATAAATTTGTGTTGCTACTCCACAAGCCCAGCTTTCTGTGGTCTACAAAGGGAAGGTAGAAGTGTGGGTTAGACTTCAAGCAGGTGAAAGTGAACCGTTTGTGGTTTTGAAAAAGGCACTTGAAACCTGGGCTGCATTCCAAATTCAGACACTTCACAGACACCAGTCACTAGGGTGGCAAACTCACCAAGTCAGGCTCATTAACAGACTACTGATTTTGATGGCTGATCAGGCAGATGTTTGTCTCAAAATTCAGAAACCTTTCTTTCTTTTCTGACCCTTCATCTGTCATAATCAGATAACTAATATTCTTTGTGGTATCGCAGTAAGCCAATGTTGCAACATATCAAAACATGTCAGAAATAATATGGGTAAAGAAAGTTTCTCTAAGGAAGTAGAAAGTAGAAGTTGATATTTGACCAAAGTGGTAAGAAATCTCATTACTATCTCCAAGTTATTGAGTTGCCCTTGGAAAGTGGAGAAACGATACAAAGATGCATCTAGAGGACGAATTACAGAAGACAGGAAACTCTTCAAGTCCAAATGGTGGGGCAGAATGAGTGTAGCAGTCAACAGGGCAAATGCCAAAGACTCAGAAATGCTATGGATATGCAGAGCTGGTAAGGAACTGACTTCTAATCCCACCTGTAGAGCTCTAAGTCATCAGCAGGGGAGTGTGAGAAACTGTGAGCTTCTGGGACAGCTTATTCATCAGGAAATAAGTACAAGAACAACCCCTTCTCTCAGAAGGCCTACAGGTCCCTTTCACAGCTTCCCAAAATGATCTAGCAATGTCTCATGTTTTGTCTAAAACACTGCTCTGCAGTCATACTAGTCATCTTTGCAGCAGTGAACAGTGTTCACATCCTGCAAATCAAAATTCCTCGAGTACCTCCTGTTTAAGCCTATATATTCAAATTCTTTGAATATTCATGTTTTTTTGCATGAAAGCTCATAGAAGTCTCTATGAATTTTAAAATGCATTTTCACTTTTATTCACGTTAAAATGTGCTGTGTGAAGTCTGCTTTTTACGTCTTTCTTATCTTTTGAGCACCGTAAACCTTCTTGGTCTTCAAGGTACAAGCTTCGCTTCAACAACTGCTATTGGTAGTAAATTGTGCTGACAAAGGAAAACAGTGAAGTTCCAGCTAATTCTTATACTAAAAAGTAATAGCTCTTCCAGAGCGATATATATTGATCTGTTAAGGTATGCTATGTATGTCCATACAACTAACTCCTCTGTAATTTATGAAAGGAAATAAATGATTCCCATTCTGAATTCTTCTCTTGGCTAGGTATTCCTGTCCTGGATAAGCTCACTGAGACTGCTAATTCCCACTAGTCAAGCCTGAGGCCAGCAATTTATTTCACATCCTCTCTGGCTACACTTGCTAAAACGTCCTGCAGATTCCACCTTATCTGCAGTGTTACATAAAGTGGTTTCCAGCAAAAGGAACTTAACTTGCTAAGTGTAGGCAGAACTGTTAACTTAATTTGCAACTTAAACTGGTGTTTTTTTGTACTTTAGAAGACTGTAAAAACACTTTAGAGCCTTTAGCTTACAAAAGTATGCACACGGTAAGAAGTGGCTGACAATCTACAGCTGGGATATATCATTAATGTAGATGACACCTGGACTAGCTGAACTAGGTGACTTTATAAGACTAGCAGAGCTGAGATGGAATTTATTAGGAGGAGCATGTGACATAACTGAGTGAATGTAATTAAAGTACACTGATTATCAAATTTTTAGAATTATCTGCACCTGTACACTTTTCCGATATTTACAAATTTACTACCTTTAAAATTTAATCAAAAAATTACTATGCATTTCTCCATGTGTTCAAATATGTATTGAATATGCTGTGTCTGAACTATAACCATAGATCTATTCACATTTCTGAAGAGGAATTTTATAAAAACTGAAGTTAAAGCAAAAGTTGCAAGGGTAAGGAGACATAAAAGCTGAACTCTGCCAAGATTAAATTAATAAACTTCATTCCTACAAATACCATGATCTCTAGCTTTTACCGCTCCAGGCTGCAAACTTAGTCCACATGTTTGTGGGATCTGGTTTTAAATGATGACAGATAGCTGATTACTAATGCTATTTGGTTACTTCTGTTTAACTACAGCTCTGTTTGATTTATATCAAATTAACCATTCATGTAGGGTTGAGGAATAAAAAAAATTGCTGCTACAGAGATGTTATGCAGAGACTGTATTTCAGGTAAGGTTCCATTAAGATCTTTTGGTTCATCTCTAAAGACCATGGGAAGTTTGAGTTTGTTTTTTCTTGATATATCTCACCCTCCAAGATCCTTTGCTTTTCAACTCTTTTTTACTACTAAACATAAACAAACACAACAAAATTAAATATGCATCATCTCTTCCAGAATGTTTTTTAAAAACAGCTTTATTAAACATATACTCTTTACAACATAGTTAACAAACTCTCCAACCCTGAAGGAATCCTCTTTTATATCAAGCACATAAGCAAATGCTCATAGTAACTGAATGGTAATGGAAGTGGCCACTGGTAACTGAAACATGTGGAAAACTAGCTCACTAACAACTTAGGGCTGGGTTAATGTCTGCACAGTACATCAGGCATAATCATCTGTTCTGTACAACTACAGGTTAGTACTGAAGGCAGTTCTGGTCTCCTAGTATCTATCTCTTTTTAATAATAAAGTAGATATCTTTAGAAGTATACAAAAGCCCCATCACTTTAGAGAAACTAAGTAGCTTAGGTACATTTCCACATAAATATTTAATGCTGGTTTATAGCATTAAACAGCCATTTCCATTTTAATAGGTGGATGAGGATTATAATCTTCAATCTGAAAGTCTTCTGCCTTAAAGTCACTGATGTCTTCAACCTTACGAAGAATTCTGAGTTTGGGGAAAGGTCTTGGCTCCCTCTGAAGCTGAAATAAAAGCAAGCTTACTGTATAAAGCTTAATACTTGAAAGGAAAGATTTTATGTTCTCAATGTCAATTCAGATTATATTATATAGACTTTCCCTCCCCACCAAGAAGACTTATACTAAGAAAAAAAGAAGAGAAGAAAATTTTAATATTGTTAGGTGGAATCTACTTTAGTATTTTCATAGGGACAGTAGCATAATTTTCTAGTGAATTCCCTGATCATCCAAATGCACTGCAAGCACTTCCAGTTGGCAAAGCAATTCTGGTGGCTACAGATGATATTCCTTCCAGAGGAAACTAAATTGGAAACTCTGACCCAGATGTGCATCAAATGTGCTGCAGTTTCTCACAGGACCATTTGGGTCCAAACCAATAACTAGTTCTTTGAATTGTTCTGAACCATACAAATAGTGAGGACAGTCAATCCTAATTAAGTCAAATCAAATCGAATTCTGATTTTTTCCTAATGCAACAAATTACTTACTGAAGAAAACATAGACTTTTTCAGTCAAATAGCAATATTAATCAACTCTGTGAATTGGTAAGTTATCCTTTTCTGCTGTACTACAAAGACATTTTATTTTGTGTTCACCTGGATTAGGCAGAATGATTTTCTAAGGCTTTGGCACGATGAAGCCAAAAGTAGGAGTACAGATTCTAGATCTCCACCTTGGTTCTAAAGTAGTACACTAATGTACATTTTAATCATGTTTGTATTGTATTTCTGTTTGCAACCTGAGTTGGATACTACATTTATTAGGATATTACAATTATTAGGGTAGAAATGAGAAGCAAAGCCACACACTATAATATTTGCAAAAGGATATTTATAATACCAAGACAATTCTGCACTGAACAAGCACTGTGGAAGATAAAACAATACAAGAATACAGAGTAAGTACTTACTTGAACTTTAAGAGGTTCCACATGATTCAGATATATGTGAGCATCTCCTAAGGTATGTATGAACTCTCCAGGCTGAAAAGAATGAAGAATACATGTGGGTTTCAAACAGTCAGGTTTCAAGAAAGCAAAACATTACAATGCTTACACTATTGATCCCTAGCACCTTACATCTAGTGTGGAATCGCAGCTTTTGCACTGGATTGTATTGCCAAGACGTCCTTGAAAACTTCGAAGGACACTAGCTTCCCCGACTACTGTATAATTAATGAAAAACATAATGAAAATTTCCACCAGCTTACCAAAAAATTTACCTTTGAAATCCTGCTAGGATACCTGCTTTGGTACTGAATGGAGCACTACTGATCTGCTCACCAAGACGGAAACAGACATGGCAGTGACATCCAGATTTACACTTTACTTCTAATAAGCATGACTTGCCAAAGCTGGTTTCAGAGCAGCTGCCTTCGCCTCTACTAAACATTGTACTTTGCAGCATCGGAGGTGTCAGTCACAGTCTAAACCCCAAAGCACTTACCAAGCATCCAGATGTGTTTGAAAGTTCTGTGATTTCACAGCCCCTGAGCAATCTAATTTAACTCATGTAAGTTTTACAAGCTATTTTACTGCCCTCTGACCAGTGTAGATAAGCCCCTGGATATATTACACTGAAAACCACCAAAGCTGCGAGAGGAAATGGCTGAGAGACAGCAGTTGCCTTGTGGACTTTACCTTAGACTAACATGGACTAGTACCTTGGACTAATTCCTTTGTTTACAATTGCTGTGAAGACTGATTCTTCCCTATCTCCTTGTTTTTAAGTTCCCCTCCATGTTGCTGGCCGCAGGAGGATCAAGCACAAATGGCCTTACTAGTATAATTTTTACATGCCCTAAAGAAGAGGAGTTTTCATATGGACAAGATTGTTGAGCATTTTTAATTTCTCTGTAAAAATATATCTCTGAAGTCAGGGTAGGAGCTATTTGAGCACACACTACCACTCTACATAATCATCTACACTAGGAAATCAAAGAAATGCCTAGCTGAAATTATAGCTGGATGTTAGGTGGGCAGAATATCCAAATTAAAACCTTGACGGCAACACATAAGGTTCAGGGCAGACCTCATCACTCTCTACAACTCCCTGAAAGGAGGTTGTAGCCAGGTGGGGATTGGTCTCTTCTCCCAGGCAGTTATCAGTAAGACAAGAGGGCACAGTCTTAAGCTCTGCCAGGGGAGGTTTAGCCTGGATATTAGGAAGAAACTCTTTGCAGAGAGGGTAATCAGGCATTGGAATGGGCTGCCCAGCAAAGTGCTGGCTTCTCCATCCCTGGAGGTTTTTAAGCTGAGACTGGATGTGGCACTTAGTGCCATAGTCTAGTAACTGTGGTGGTAATGGATCAAGGGTTGGACTTGATGATCTCAGAGGTCCTTTCCAACCCAGCTGATTCTATGATTCTAAGCTACTGTTCGCTTCCAATAAACACATCCTACAAAATTTAACCACCTGTATGTTACTATCCCATAAGGACAAGTGGTCTGTTCAGATTTCTAAGAAGCAGACTAGTGAACAGGCTAGTTTTGACACGGTCATGACCTGAAGGATCTTCTGTCTGTTTAACCTTAATTTAAGAATTCTTACATTTCTGATCCTAACTGCCCATACAAACCAGAGGCAATTCACATCAAATTCATAGGGCCCTTTTAGAGACATATTTCAGCAATATTTTTAACAGTATGTTCATTCCAGTTTTTCTTGGACATGACATGAAGAGTCCTGTCTTTTAGTCCTTCATTTCTCAGACAAGATTAAGTAAAATGATTAAATAACCTACCTTTAGCCCTGTGACATGGGCAATCATGTATGTGAGGAGTGAGTAGCTGGCAATATTGAAAGGCACTCCTAGTCCCATATCTCCAGACCTCTGATAGAGTTGGCAAGACAATTCACCATTGAGAACATAGAACTGGCAAAGGGCGTGGCATGGAGGCAAAGCCATCAGAGAAATATCTAGGAATTGCAGTACAGAAAAAAAACCAGTAGCAGCATTAGTGTGTTATGAATGCAGGAGATGCAAAACCTAAACAATTATGTAATGGGATACAGTAGAGAGCCAACAGCATTGTCATTCTGTTGCTTGTTTCTCTCGTTTATAAGCACCTGCTGCCCAAGCAATTAAGGCCGGGTCATGACAAGCTGTCTCCTGGGCTGCATGACCAGAAAGTCATAAACAGATATTCCACATAACAGATTTATGCCATAATGCTGCGCTGCAGTTTACTGCTACTCACCTCAGTGGGACAGCTGATTTCCCTAAAGGAAGACATTAAGAGTAAAACCAAGCATGTACCCTAAAGCGACTTCCAACTGCTTCATCTTACTCCCTTCCCATCAAAATGTGACTTTGCTGCTTATTGAGATATAAAAACAATGATCAATTTAAAAAAAAAATCACAAAACAAATCTTTTGAGTGTTTTTTTACACTTAAAAAGCGCAGATAGCACAATTGCAGCTTGGCAGGAAAAATTTTAACCAGGTATCTTCTTATATCTGAGAATGCTTAACCTTAAAAATAACAGAAACAACATGTGGCAGACCCTTTCACACATCAGTGGATTTTTTGGAGCACAGATCCGCCACTGGTGAAGTTAAACAATCTCTTGTACCAGCTCTTGTTTAGAAGTAGCCCTACAGAATGAATGGATATCTAAACAACCTATGTTCAATGATTACAACACAAATAAGATTTTTGTTCTCTAGTTTTAAGGGTTTTGTTAAGTTTACTTTAACCTGTAAAATAAAACTCTGAAGAAATGGTCTGATATTTCTGAGGTCTGAGCACGAGATTTAAGCAGAAAGAGAATCAAACTTATAACTCCTGGTCATTTTTACTGCATTTCTGATAGTTTTATAAAGAATTAATAAGGACACCAAATGGAAATGGCTGTGGACACAGGAACAGAACATAATTTAGCATACAGCAAGATAATGTACAGCTGCATTCACTTAAGCTCTGCTATTCAATACCTTTTGGATTCCAAGCACACATAATGATTCTTCTGTCATCTGGATTGGTTTTGATTGTTTCAATCACTTTTTGCAACTGATCAACTCCTTGGTTGGAATAATCTGGAGAAAGATATACCAAATAAGATCTAAACCAAACAGATTCGAGTCATGATATTTTTTTAACACACAGCCCACATCCCACTGAAAAGTAATACTGAAATGACAACCTCTGAAAATTTTATTGCAACTTTGAAAGTGATATTAATTACTTGGCACACTATTATTATAGGCTATTCTTGGTGTTTCTTAGGGTGCTCTTAAGCTTGTGAAATTTTCATGATGACATTTTGACATGTCCCCCCATCTCATTTGTGTGCTTTGACTACCTTTAGCACCCGCTGAAATAGGACCACTCTTATTTAGAACACTTTATTCCATTCTTAACACCTTGACATTCTTTAAGATCAACTAAGAAGTCTGCATAATCACTAAATCCCAAGAAGAAAAACTTGCAATACAAAAAAATTGTTGAACAAAGAATGACATATCCTTCACGACTACTTGTTACCTCATTAGGAAAAGAGCTGTTCTGGAATGGACAAGATATTACCACCCTGTCATTCACAGTATTTAAACTAAATCATTTATTGCATTTCTGGATTAAAATGCTTTTCTAGATGTTAAACTTACATGTTACAGTGCTCCTTATTAAAAAAAAAAAAAATTATGCCCAGACCAGCACTGAGGGACACCAGCACTCTCTCCATGCTCAAAAGTACAAAGTTCTTGACAGATGGATAAACACACCCATCTAGCTCTCATAAGGTCATGTATGAAAACTAAATTTCCATAGCATTTAAAGCCAGGAGGGAACTTAATTCATGTATAGCACAGGATAATACATTTCACCCAATGATACTCAAAGGCTGAATTTTAGGCTCAGTTCCAGTTATATAAGAAATCTACTGAAATTAACTGACCATCAGAATGGATTTCAATATGAGTAATTAGTTGTTAATCAGTGTTCTGACTCATGTCAATGAATCAGCATGACTGGTAACTACTTTCTTCTGATAACTTATTGCAGCAACACCAAATTAGACTACAGGGAGACCCAGGCTGGCAAGCAAAGTAGTAATACACGATCCCCAGCAGGGCCATTCACTTAAGAGTTGGACTCAATAATCCTTGTGGGTCCCTTCCAACTCAGAATATTCTGTGGTCATTCTGCAACACAATTAGTAGCTCAGGGAATCCTTCTGCCAGCAATACCGTGCCAGAAGCCTTGTCAAATGGTTATGTTAGTTCCTGAAGCTAATTACCTATCCATTAGTAATGCAACTTAAGAAAATCTATTAGTAATGAAACCCATGGGAATTTATCTCGTTCATTTTTTCCACCCTATGTTTTGCCTCAGACCTTCTAAGTTCAGGAACTCTGAATCTTTTCACCAAGTTTTCAGATGTGTCACTTCACATTTTGCACCATTTCTGTTAGCATAAAACTAGTAGTCAACATGCCAATACCAAGTCTGTAACTAATGTGAGCTTCATTTTGAGGCTGTGTTGACAAAAAACCCCACCAAGATAACTAACCACATTGTTAATCCGAGTTTAAAATCACACCAGATAGGGGTAGTCCTCAAAATGCTTTCTACATCATCTCCTTCAGTGACTTAGAAAGAGCCAGTAACACACTTCAGAGTAAGTTTAATGAACCAGTTCAACGCAAAATAATATCAATAGGTACTGCATCACATCATAACTTGTTGCAGAATAGAAAAATCTTTCTCTTCCCATCTCCAGTGAATGTAGTGCACTGCCAATTCTTTCCAGTACAACAGTATCATGGAAATTGGACCCCGCACTGGTATACAGAGCTGGCAGCCTGTGTTCCATGGCTATCAAATGGAGATAGCTTGGGTTTCTGGACTGCAAGAGCCACACATCCTTCCAGCTATCAGTAACCATATCTGCTCTAGATAAAAGAATAACAGTGTATGCCTTATGATCCATCAGTTCTACAAATGTCAAACTACAATATACAAAGCTACATATTTCAGGATAATTAGAATGAGTAAGAAAAAAAAAAGTTAAATTAACTCTCTCAAACACCATTTATTCTGGTTATCAGTTCACAGTTGGTCCCCTAACAAAACTCAGAGTTTTGGAAATGATGTGTCACAACTGTCTCACTGAGCAATCAAGACTGTATTTGCTTGTGATTACCTGTGTGCATATCTTTGTATTCTGCTCCAAAGTGCCTCCACTGGAAACCATACACTGGTCCCAAATCCCCCTCCTCTCTGGTGCTGAAACCCTGCTTATCCAGGAACTCACGTGACCCATTAGCATCCCAAATCTTCACACCTTTTGCAGAGAGCTCTTTGGCATTTGTAGAACCCTACAAAACACAGACAGTAAGAATTCTGCCTCCTAATTCCAACACTGAGGACATTATCTGAAACAGCTGCTTTAAGCTTTTCTAGTCTACAGCATTTCTCCACTTACAAAGGATGAACTGTTTAATTAACGTACTGGATGAGGTTCTTGCACATGGACAGAATAAAGCTTGAGAGCAACATACTGGGATGAAGTCTGAGGAACAGCCATGCTGCTGCTGTTTAACACGGGAATCTCCTAACCTTGTGAATGCACAAACAGTACAGCCTCAAGGTCAACTGTGGTATGCCATTTCATAAGCACATTTGCAAAGAAAAATATGTTACTTTACGGATGGATGAAAACAGACTTAACAAAAAATGTATGGCCTAGGCACTGTCTTTGCCAAGCCACCTATAATGAGCTTAAGGTATTAAAAATCCTTTTGTTAAAATGACAGAAATGTGAAAATGACCCAGAGAAACGTCGCTGAATCCTGAAACATGTCCAAATCAGCACACTCAAAATTCAGCAGAGAAATTATGCTGTTTTGGGGAGTGTCTAGTCTTTTGCATTTGAAAAAAAAAACAACAAAGCTTTTAAAAAATGAATGTGTATTTCAGTCCTGCTACATAGCAAATGTTTAGGTAGACTTTCCCATACCTGCACAATGTCACAACATATAAAGGAACACTTACATTGTAATGTATTATCTATAGTTGAATTTTATGATTCTACCTACAGCTATTAGCTCTATTAGATCTCATTTTTTTGCTACTGAAAAGCCTAGTGTTTACATCAATCTCACTTCACCCATGGTTCTGCACTGCTTCTTTCTGTTCAAATCAATAAAAGCTATTGCAATATTAAAAAGTAGATCACTAAATTGCCTACTATCTATTTCATATTATTATTTCTTATTCAGACACTAAGACAAAGACACTGTATTAGGTTTTATAACTGTGGAGTATAGTCAAATCAGCAAAAGCCCTCACTATTTCAGACTATATCCCTTAAAAAGGAATAGAAGGAAAACTCTTCTGAGTGCACTGTTAGCAACAGTCTGCACTAAAAGACAGAATGTCTCGAAAATAATGGCCTTCCATGTGTCGTCGAAATATTAGGTGGTTGCACTTCTCTCAGGAACAGAAGCACATGCAGTTACCCCAAATCCCTTAATCCACTCCACGCTAGTTTGTTCCATTTATCCCACTCTCAGGCAGAGCATGCATAGAGACATGCAAACACCGAACCTTGATGAACCACAGCAGCTCCTCCAGCACTCCCTTCCAGAATACCCTCTTCGTCGTTAGCAGCGGAAACTGATCTGGAAAAGAGTTTTAGAGCCTCAGAGGAGACCAGCCATTCGCGGAGGGTGAACTGACTCAGGCTTTTCTCAAGGCCACCCTTCGACATTGAGAGGTTTGGATACGCAGCGAGGAGCTGGCAGGGGATGTGCAATCCTCGTACTCAGCTCTCTTGGCGGGCGGGAGCGGGTCAGCCCCGGGGTACAAGATGGAGTGTGACACCTCCCAGCACCCATCCCGGCGGGCAGGGGCAGGGGACAGGGAGCAGGGGCACGGGGAGCAGGGGGCAGGAGCAGGAGGCCGGGGACAGGGAGCAAAGGGCAGGGGCAGGAGGCCGGGGACAGGGAGCAAAGGGCAGGGGCAGGAGGCCGGGGACAGGGAGCAGGAGACAGGGAGCAAAGGGCAGGGAGCCGTGGCAGGGGCCGCGGGTGCCGGCGGTGCCCACCTCTCAGGCTGTACCGCGCCTGCATGCCGAAGACGGAGAGGGTGCCGGTGCCGGTGCGATCCTCCCGCCGGTGGCCGTGCTGCAGGATGTGCCGTACCTGCTGCAGGTACTGCGGCTCGCCGAGCCCCGGGCCGGCGGCGAGGGCGCTCAGCGGATCCCCCTCGGCGGGCATGTCGGGCGAGAGGCTCCCTGCGGGATGGGCTGGGCTCCGGCTGCACGGCGGTCCTGATCCTGCTCCTGCTCCTGCTCCTGCTCCCGCCCGCCGCTGCTGCTGCCGCTGGTCCGAGCCCGCCAAAACCCGGCTTTCCCGCCGAGCAGCGCCGAGGGGCGGAGCGGCCCCGCTGCATCCTGCTCTGTCTTTTCCCTTTCTCCTTCCCTCCCCGCGCCCGGGGTTCCTCAGCGCCGCAGTCTCCAGGGCCGCGGGCTCTGTTCCCCCCAAGGGAGGGGCTGTCCCGAGCACCTGGCCCGGCTCGGTGCTCCAAACTATACCAACTTGCTTAGGTTGGACATTAGGTAGCATTTCTTCACAGAACGGGTGAGGAGATACCAGAATGGGCGGCCCAGGGAGGTGGTGCAGCAAGGGAACGCTGGACGTGGCACTTAGAGCCACGGTCTAGTTGACGTGGTGGTGTTTGGTCGTGGGTTGCACACGATGACCTCAGAGGTCTTTTCTAACCTAATTGGTTCTGTGAATCGGTGACTTTACTTCCACCTGCCCTAGTGGCAAAGTAACTGGTCCCTGGGTTCACTGCGTGCTGGAAAGTGCTGTTGGCATCTTCCTGCCTCTCTCTGCAGCCTCAGGCATCCTGTTTCAGAGCTAAAGAAGATCAAAGCCTTCGGCTGGGCCTGGCAGGCCACACACGCATGGCATTGGATCCCCCCAGCTGGGATATCCTGAACCACCAAAGCCCTGGGTACAACCTGGTGCCATCCTCCCCTGTCTTTGGTTTGGTGCCCCTGCAGTGCCATGTCCCACTAACAGCTCTTCTTCCACCTTGCAGCAGTGTTACCTTGACCTGAGCTTCTAAAGGACATCGAGATGCTGGAGCGAGTGCAGATAAGGGCAATGAAGCTGATGAAAGGTCTCAAGCACAAGTCCTACAAGGAGCAGCTGAGAGAGCCAGTGTTATTTAGCCTGGAGGAGGCTCAGGATCGACCTTATCACTCTACAACTCCCTGAAAGGAGGTTGTATCAAGGTGGGGGTCGTCCTCTTCTCCCAGGCAACTAAGGCAAGAGAGCATAGTTTTAAACTGTGCCATGGGAGGTTAGGTTGGACATCAGGAAGAATTTCTTCACAGAAAGGGTGATTAGACTTCAGAAAGAACTTGCCAGAGAGATGGTGGTCACCATCTCTGGAGGTATTTAAGGAAAGACTGAACCTGGCCATGGTCTAGTTGTCATGATGATGTTTGGTCATGGGTTGGACTTGATGATCTCAAAGGTCTTTTCCCACCTCATTGATTCTGTGATTCTTTGAAACCAAGACCCTTTCATGTCATACCTTGTTATCAGCTTTCTGCTAGGTATTGAGACACTTGCTTTCTCACTGAGGGTAGTACTCAACACTCACTTTTATTGAGTCTGGTTGATCTCAGCTTCTCCCATGTTACAGTGTCATGTTTGCATCCATTTTACATCATTTTGCGCAGTCATTTTTGTGTCTGATTGCTACGGTTCCCAATGTCATATCCTCTGAAAATTTTCTAGGTATAATCTCTGCTAGTCAGAACAAACTGGCTCTTCTCTGAATATTTTTTAGTATCTCTTAGAAGTCAAGCATTTTGTAGGAGTCAATTATATCTCAGATAAAGCCCAGCTTTCTGACAACCGGTGTGATTACAAGAGTTATGACTGCTAATCTCTCACAATTAGGAGCCTGTAATTCAGGTATATAAGATGGAAGTTAGGGAGAACAGAGAACTGTGGATCAGAAAATGCTACTTTTCCTTGCAGCAGGCAGAAAATCATCTTTCCTACTATTTAAAACATTTAAATGGCCTTTTTCTTGTATAAATTTGTATGCTTACTTATATGTATAGAAGTAAAGGAAAATAAAGTATAACTAGGGTGTGGATATTTTTCTATATTCATATCTAATATACATGTTTATACATTTTTATACATTTTTAAATTAATATGACTTATTTACAAGGGATACAGTTGAAAATGGTGCATATATCTGTGTGCAAAAAATGCATAGAAATTTTGGGCACAGCAAATTAAACAAAATCACCTAGAGCTCTGCTTCTAGCTGAGCGATGTATCAGTCCTTAACCTTTATTATAATTTACAAATACCACTGAAAGCTAATGTGTATAATTTTGGAAAAAACAAACTTCTTTACTGATAAAGGCTGTTAGCTAATTAAAATATAAACTCCAGAGGCAAACTACAAGTAAGAAATGCCAAAGGCAGAAAACTTACTCAGTACTGCATATTCAGAAAAGTCATTTAATGTACACAATAAACATCAAAAGCAACTGAAAGAAGAAATGGAACATTTTAATCACAAAATAATATGCTACATTAATACAGAAATCTGGTTGATTCAGACTTAGCCAAATGTGCCAACATCTGTAGGGACTAATCTTGAAAATGCTTAAGGATGTGCTTGAATTTAAGAATGCTAATAGAAATTAGTTGTGTGCTTACAGCTGATTATTTTCTTGAATATTTGCATAACCACAGCCATAGCTCATTATCAAAGATTACCTAATTTACAATATAAATAACATTTTATTTAAATAAATTAATATTAAAATGGATTTTTTTTGTTTTGATTTAAAAGCTTTCTACAGTCTTTGGTTGCTAGCTCATATGTCACAGTATTTACTAAGCAAAATTTTATTTATATGCAGCTATTTTAACCATAGTAATTTAACAATTAGCTGTATGTTGAGCACAGGGGTATTTCAGCCATAGTGGTCAAGGAAGAAAGATTTCACACATCTTTCCTAGGAGGAAAAAAAAAAAAAGAAATTAAACATTTTGGTTTTGGACTGAGAAAAATATGTTAGACAAGTTAGTATATGTAATTATGATATTATTATGTATTATGATATTAGTATCAGTGCCCTACTATAGAAACATAAAGGACATAAAAACCAAAGAGAAATGGATTTTTTTCCTCTTTTTTCATTCTTATAGATCTTTCCATTTTCTTGTGGACTTTTAACTCTTTTTTTTTATCATCACATTTTCATGTACTCTAAATCCTGTACAAACTGAACGTAAAATGGTAGCGTGATTTGGAAATCAATGCCACTTACTTTTCTCAAGTGTGAAATGGCTACACAAGATATGTTGCACAGAAAAATCAGACTAAGATTCAGGCTAAAAATCAAAATCACACTAACGAAATAATTCTTCTCATTATTATGCCTTGAATATTAGTACTCCATGATCTGAGAGTGTATATTGTCAATAAGTACGTACCAGTTACAGCAAATTTTGAAGAAAGTTTGTATAGAAACTGTTTGAACCTTTTATTTTATATGTTTATAAGTATTAAAAGTGGTTGTATTTTAAACATAATATACACATCATTTCACCAATATTTCCCTAAGCAAAGTTCATGGTGAGGCTTATAATGTTATACTTAAATTCTGCAGCCCACCTCAGGCTATCTGGTGGGAAGGATTTCTTTCATCTGTTTAGAAATTGTACGTCTAACCTCAAAAGAATAACCAGAGTTGATACAAAACACTGAAATTTTCTTCATCTACTTTGTCAATGTTGAATGCTTTTTGCATGCCTTCTCGGACTTCTCTGTGTGTTCAGGTCATGCTTCAATTGCTGAGTTGAGGATATCAGACACCCAATGACCTAAAAAGCAGCTATGTCCAAATCTAGTCCTTCTCAGAGGACTGAATGTGGTGATTTGCCTGAAGATCTCATGCATCTTGTGGCTCTGTCCCCTGGTAAAGCCACTTGTAAGAGTTGGAGGCCACTACAGCTGTGCATCCCAGGGTCCCCTGGGAAGGGAAACCTAGGGAAGGGTGGCTTACAAGCCCCACAGCAGCATGATGCCACCTAAACCCACCCCATCTTTCCTGGAGATTCCCTGTCGGGTTAGAGAATATGAAGCATTTTTTAATCCCTGCCTGCCGGGTTCTTCCTTCCTCATCTGGAAATCCCCTAAACGTGGAGGGAGGCTTCTTGTGCACCCTTCCTACAAAAATGGTTAGAAGCCCCTGAGAAGGATCTTTCTGTGCATGTTCCTGCAAGCTGAACTGCAAATTCTGTTTACGCAGTCAATCTAAGCAGAGTGCTGCTAATGGAGAAATGTTATGATAACACAGCTCTTTTAAGTCCTGGTGGTGATTCTCACTTTGCAGTCCTTTATCATGAAAAATAATACAAGCATGCTCTTAAACACCACTGAAAACAAAAACCATAATCAATACTGGTAATTCCAGTTCATTCATGATGAATAAACACAAAGACATGTTTTTCAATGCCAAGACAGTGGACTGTGGTTGTGAGGCAATTCTTTTCTAAAGAAATATTTATCGTCATGTTACCTCATCCCAGATGTTACTTAAAGATCGAGGATTTCACAGTTAAATAAGTCAAATCATTTAATATCATAATGTCTGTGTTTGCAGGCTGGAACACTGAGTGCCTGCTTGTGTTTTCCATAATGCTTGTGTTTGTCCCAATCAATATGTCTTTCTGAGGAGGCAGTCTTGTGTACACCGTGACGGAATTCTGTTCCAAGTACAGCTTATTGCAATGTAAACACCTGTTAGGAGGAATTGTGTTTTCTAGGAAAGGAGAAAGGGTGAACTTACCACTTAAAAATTCTGCTTATACAGTTGCAGTGCTTTCCCAGCTACATATTCAATGAATTCAGCACTCTCTGGGTCTAAACTGGGAGGAACTTTAATGGTGAAAGTAGGAGAAGTCAGGATATTCACGTCTACCACAGTTTCGTTTTTACTGGAGGGATCCCCAGGTACCACCTAGAAGAAATCAGTACTTTAGACACTACAAACTACTGAGTACTTTCAGTTTTGTTTATACCTATTGTGCCCACTGTCTTTAATAAGGGAAAATTAAATAGAGGAATAATTTAGACCTCTCTACTTTCTTTAAGTTGTTTTCTTTTGAAAAGACAGTGGGTGTCTGAATTAGTGCCAAAGCTGATTGTAGGTGGTGGAAAGAGCTGACATGGCAATGCAAGACCATATTAAAGAACTTCATGTTAATATTTATAC